TATATTAAGCGCCATAGGGTATTCAAAAACAATATAGAAAAAAGCTCCAATCATTTACAACATACTTTAGTAACCATCTAAGGGGTTTAGTCATGTTTGAGAAAGGCTTCTAGATCTTTGAAGGTCATAAAATGAAAATTTTAATATATTGATTTTGTAAAATATTCGTGTGATTGTGCTTCTAGGATTATCAATTTAATCTTTGGTAAAAAGGGTTTACTAATCAACATACATTTTTGTAAAAGAATAAGTTGGATATTCATAGGAAAAGAGGTTACAGGGGAAGAAACAAGGGGAGCTACTTTTTTCTAAAAGACACCTACAATGATTATGTTTTGTATAATAATATTAATAAAACAACTTAGAAATGTGGCTGGATTTGGTTCCTTAAATCCTTAGCCATATATATGCATTTTTTTCCCTCTGTCTAAAACTTTTTCTCAAACTGCATAGTTTAAATCCTGACATAAAACGTCATTAAAATAAACCTCAAAAGAAGCAAACTTTACATACTGAGAAAGACAATAGTCCATAATGCAGAGTGGAGACGTAAAAGTAATTTCCACCATTCTCAAACTTTTTTCTCAACCATTTCTTCTTACCTGCAAAACTTATTCAGGTGGTTTTGAGAAAGGCTAGCGAGGAAAGAGAACCCCTAAACTAGAGAAGACAGGAAGAGATGCATCACAAAAGCCTCTCAATTTTGACCCACCCAGTCCAGTCCCATTTTCCTCCTGGGATTTGTTGTTAGGGCCGAGGAGTCTTTTCCAACACATAGGGACCCCGTGTACAACAGTATGAAACAATGCCCAGTCCTGCGCCATCCTCACAATAGTTGCCACGCTTGAACCCATCATAGCAGCCACTGTGTCCATCCATCTCCTTGAGGGTCTTCCTCTTTTTCGCTAACCCTCTAATTTACCAAGCATGATGTCCTTCTCCAGAGACTGGCCTCTCCTGATAACATGACCAAAGGGAAGTCGTGCCATCCTCTCTTCAAAGTAGTATTTCCGCTGTTCATCAAAGACCATGACAGTTGATCAAGTGCAGGAGATTGGCTCTTCTGGACACATTTTTCTAAAACCCAGCTGTATCCCACCCTGAAACTGGGAGATAACTCGCCTCCTCGCAGGCTCTTTCTTCCACCAGGACTCACCTTTATATTGGATTAAATAAGAATGAATACTGATTCTCGGCCATTTAGTTTTTTGTTTTATCGTGGTAAAAATATATACAACACACTCTAGAACAAAAGAACACGGATGTTTTGACTAACATTGCTTTCAATAACTCTATGGGCTTGTCAGTTGGTAATTAGTTCACCTGAGCCCTCCAGGGAAGCGCCGGACCCCTCTGCGCTCTAGCAACTCCCAGCTCGCGGCCCCCAAACAACCCCTCCAGAGTTCACTGAAGCTGACAAGCCCGCCCAGGACAAGTTGGGACTGAGCAGCGTCAGGCGCCCGGGACTCGAGTCCAGATTCTGGGAGGCCTCGCCCAGAGGCTGGTGCAGTCAATCGTGGAGAGGAAAGATGGTGGGCGGGGCCAGCCGCGCCGCAACCCAGAGCTTTAAAGGCTGAGCAGACAGCTTTGGACAACAAACACAGACAACAGTGACCCTTTAGACTGCTTGTGCTGCTTGCGCCTGCGCTAGCTGCGGCCGCTGCAGGTGAGCGCCCTCGCTGGGGCAAAGGTGCGGCGGGAGCAGGCGTGGGAAGAGGGAAATCCTATAGGGACCGTGGCGAGGCGGCCGGCGCGACCCCAGGGAGTGTCTGCCTGGGGCTGACGAGGTCGAGTTCGGACTGCCCCTCGAACCCTGCTGGCCCTGGCCAGGGCTGAGAGGGAGGCGGCTCCGACTCCTGGGCGACTGAGCCACCCGAGCGGGTCTCAGAGCGAACAGGGCACGACTCGGCCTTGAGGCCGCGGCGGCACAGGGTCCTCGCAGCCGGGCAGCCCCTGAGCCGCGCTGTACTCGGGCAGAGCCTGTCTGGGCAGTTTGACCCCGCGCGCCAGGTTAAAGGGCTGGCGGCTTCACAAACCGCGGTGAACATCCTTCTGGGAAGAAGCCCGTGGACGCCTGGTGTGGGACCCAGCCCTAGACTGAGGCTCTGAACCCAGCAACTCCCTGCCCTGGTGCGGGCGCTGGAGCTGGGGGCTCTGGCATCTAAGCCACGTGACCGCCGTTCCCAGTGTTGGGGGAAAAGTGTGTGTGTGTGTGTGTGTGTGTGTGTGTGTGTGTGTGGCGGGGGGGCGGGGAGGAGTTGCGTTGGCGGCACAAGCCCAAGTGTGGAGATGGCAGGAAAGGTTTCAAATAAAGAAGAGGTATGGAAAAAAAAAGAGTTTTAAATACATATGTTTCCTCCTGCTGTGTATTAGACTAGTAGATAGATATAGGCAGGGACGGGTTACTCAATAAGCAAGATAAGCACATGCTTACGGTATCAACAAAACAGGAGCACCAGTTTTTCAAAGCAGACCCGTAGATCCCAAAGAGACAGGACATAAGGAAAAGTGAGGCAGTGGAAGGGAACCAGCCGGGCACTACATGAAATCGACACTAGTTCCAGTGCCTGAGAACGTGCAGCCCGAAAGGTTGAGGCAGGGTCTGAGCTGTGAGACCCTTACCACTTCAGCACCTTGATTGACATCTGTCTCCTATGGTCCTCTCTCATGTAATTGAAACTACTTATCTCGACTGGTCTTTGGGAAATATATAGTTCCCTTATAATAAACAGGAGGTGGGAGTTAAGGCTAACTCTTGCTACATTCACCCGATATGCAACTGATCCAACCTGAATGGTTACTGGGTAAAGACAGATTATATTAATAGGTGAAAAAAAAATCTCTGATCCATTTTGGGAGAACTGTCTTGTATAATGAACAGGAAGTGGGAGTGGGCTGTTCAGTCTGACTTTTTGTGTGTGTGATTCAATAAATTAATTTTGTTTAAAACAAAATAAAATATAGCTCCAACTTTATGTTCCCAGAAAGATTTACAATAACCATACTAACTGATGTGGATGAACTCTAAAAATATCATGCTGAGTGAAATAAGTCAGACACAAAAGAACAAATGTATGATCCTAATTATGGGAAAGGATATAATGCTTGGTAAAGCAGAGGGTCAGCAAAAAAGGGGAAGACACTTAACAAGATGGATTGACACAGTGGCTACAACGATGGGCTCAAGTATAACAAGAATTGTAAGGATGGCACAGGATAAGGCAGTGTTTCATTCTGTTGTAGGTAGGGTTGCTATGAGTGGGAGTGACTCGATGGCATCTAACAACAACAAGTTATTGGTAGAGACAAAAGTATATTAGTGGTTACCAGAGGGAGGAAGGAGAGGAAAACGGAAGTACTTGCTTAGAGGTACTGAAGTTCTGTTTGGGGTGATGAAAAATTTATAAATGAATAGTGGTGATGGTTGCACAATATGATGAATATAATTAATGTCACTTCAGTCTAACTCTTGCTGCATTCACCCAATATGCGACTGGATCCAACATGAATGGTTTTTGGGCAAGGACGGATTACATTAATAGGTAAAAAAATCTCTGATCCATTTTGGGAGAACTGTCTCGTACATCCACCTCTGCAGATCCAGCAGCTCCAGCTAGGAGGGCTAGCAATGCTCTTTGCCATGATATTAAATTGTTTGCCATGATACACACACAAGGGCATGCACCTCCTGGTAAACAACCAGTCCAGTCCCAGAAGACTGCAGAAGCAAGGATGTTTGAATAAATTGGCCATCGCAATGAATTCAATCAAGTTACATTTTAACTGTATAGACTTTACATACAGAGTTATAGCCTAAATTTTATAAACAAAACATTTATCATTTTAAATTATGCTTGGCATACACATAGATGTATTTTAGCATACATTTAATATACTAACATGGGTGTTAATCTAATACTAAAAGAAAATGTCCAAAAAATACTGGAAATATCGATATTTATCTAACAGGAAAAATTTTAATTTATGTATCAAGTGGGGAGGTCTGGTGGCATAGTACCTAAGGCATTTGACTGCTAACCAGAAGGCTGGTGGTTCAAACCCACAAGCTACTCCTCGGAAGGAAGGTTGGGCAATCTACTTCCGTAGTGATACCACCTCAGAAACCCAAGGAGGGGTCGTTATGAGTCAGGTCCAACTCCATGGCGCATAACAACCACAACAACAACATACATGCTAATAAGCAAGGTATTAGGCACATTAAGAGGATGCAAAAATCAATATTTATTGTGCAAAGTATGTTTCTGTTTTGTAACAATGAGCATTTCTAAATTCATCTTCCAAGACAACAGCAGAGGGCGTTTATCAGAACATTACATTATGTTTAATCTGAATATTTATGTATCTCTGTATAAGGAAATGGAACAATTCCTCAAGGAAATAAATGAATATTTAGATAGTAAGATTATATAAATGTATTTTCCATTTCCCTTCAGACAGACTTTCTTTTCGGAAATTGATGTTTAAAACGAAGCTATATCATGTATAACTAACACAGACACACACACATACTTACATACCTGTATATACATAACTCACATATCCCATTCAAATGTATGAATAAGCAGAGGAAGAGGCACCACAGATCATCAGTGTTTAGGGTCCTCACATGCTTTAATCCAGCCCTGGGTATGGGGGTCAGTCAAAACTCTTTGAGAATTTCCTTGCCCCCATATGGGATCAGACATCCTGATTAAAGGATTTTTGCCTTGGCCAGTGTCTGTACTGTTGGTAAATAACCTTGACCAATCATTTCCTAGATATTGCCTAAGACTGGATCAAATACTTTAACCATTTGATAAATCTTTGGCCCATTTTTTTCCCACCCAGGTCCTTAGTCTTCTTCCACAGTCTTTTCTTAAATACTTTAAATGTTTTCATTCCACCTTTATGGCTATAATTTTTCAGGAGGGAATTATATGACTTAAAAATGAATGATTAATCAGATATTCATTTCTTCTCCCTTCCTAGGCTTTTGAAACATGAATTCTTCACTCTTTCTGGCTGCCCTTTGCTTGGGTATAGCCTCAGCTACTCTGAAACATGATCAAAGTTTAGATACACAGTGGTACCAGTGGAAGTCAACATACAGGAGACCATATAGTGCGGTTGGTAACATCTGAAACTTTCTAGCGGGACCTTGGAGAGAATGTTCCTTGCTTGCTGGGAGTTGGGGGCCAGTTGGAAGCTTCTAGAGGCCAGTTCTTACCAAGGCCTAACGTCATGGTGTCCATTCCTGAGCACAGTGTGGGCATGCACATGTCTCTGCTATTTTGGAGCTAGGAGGAAGAGCACCCAGAGGCATAGGGCTATCTTTGGCCATTATTTCTCTTCTACCTACTGATCCACATGGTAAGGAGAATTGAGTGTTAAGTGGAAATAAAGATGATGAGTTATGTTTGCCTCTAGGATAAAGAAGATTGGAGGAGAGCAGTATGGGAGAAGAATATGAAAATGATTGAACTGCACAATCGGGAATATAGCCGAGGGAAATATGGCTTCACAATGGCCATGAATGCCTTTGGTGACATGGTGAGTGTGGCATTTATTGATTGCTTAATTCTGTACTTCCTCTCCTCAGTACTTTAGCACAATAATCCCTTGCTTTTTCAATGTTTTACTTACTTTTCTTTGAAGACCAATGAAGAATTCAGACAGGTGATGAATGGCTTTCAAAACCAGAAACACAAGAAGGGGAAGATGTTCCGTGAACCTCCCTCTGGTCATATTCCCAAATTTGTGGATTGGCGTCAGAAAGGCTATGTGACTCATGTGAAGAATCAGGTAGGACATGTTTCAGATTCAGAACTTTCTTGAATGTTGTTGTTGTTGTTGTTATGTGCCATTGAGTCAAACCCGACTCATAGCGACCCCTCCTTGGGTTTCCGAGGCAGTATCACTATGGAAGTAGGATTGCCCAACCTTCCTTCCGAGGAGTGGCTGGTGGGTTTGAACCGCCAGCCATCTGGTTAGCAGGCAAGTGTCTTAGCCGCTATGCTACCAGAGCTCCTCTTTCTGGAATAGTAAAGCCAAAAAAGAATTGACCTCATGGCTTTGCTAGACTGTGGAATGACATGCAATTTACTTCACCCCCACCCCCTCCCCAAATATCCCAATATATGAGCTATTGTCAAAGTCTTCCTATTTATTTTATAAACTAACAACTTTTTTATTATCTTTTCAGGGTCAGTGTGGTTCTTGTTGGGCTTTTAGTGCAACTGGTGCCCTTGAAGGACAGATGTTCCGGAAAACTGGCAAAATTGTTTCACTCAGTGAGCAGAACCTGGTAGACTGCTCTCGGTCTCAAGGCAATAATGGCTGCAATGGTGGCCTAATGAATTTTGCTTTCCAGTACATTAAGGAAAACAAAGGCATTGATTCAGAGGATTCCTATCCATATCTTGCAAGAGTAAATGGAGCTCTTTTATCTTGCTATCCTTCCAGCTGTACCTTTGGGAAGTTGACTACTTTCAGAGATAAGACATTCAGCATTCACATTTGAGATGGTAGAATCTGTATCTACAACTGTCAGAAAAATCATTACAACTTTATTAGCCTTTGTACAGTTGCCTGATTAGAGGGTTGCATAGCTGTTGTTATCTGTTTGTAACATGAAGAATATACATACCATTCTACATAAAATAAAAATTGTTTTCATAATAAAAAATTTCTTATGGGCAGGTAGACCTTGGGGATCTCATTGAAGAGACTAATTCATTTTTCAGTTTCAAATCAACCAATAACATTTCACTTCCAAGTCTACTTTATAACAAAGTTGACTTGGAAATCAATCTGTAAGTTGCAAGGTTTAGAAGCTTGTGGTCCTAGAACTCATCTTCCCCAACAGGTAAGTGGTAGTAGTCACATTGCTTTCCCGTTTAATTTTACAGGACACAAATGTCTGTAACTATAAACCTGAATATTCTGCTGCCAATGACACTGGCTTCGTAGACATCCCTCAACGGGAAAAGTCACTGATGAAGGCAGTGGCAACTGTGGGTCCTATCTCTGTTGCTATTGATGCAAGCAATCCATCCTTCCAGTTCTATAAATCAGGTATGTTTTGAATGTTTATTATAGAAATTCAGGCAGAATTTGAAAACACATCACCATGATTGACTCTCTAGTGTGGAGTCCTCCTTTCAAATGAAGAATTTTCAGTGTACATTGAACCTAATTGAGTTCATACTGTACATGCTACCTTTTTGCTTGATGTTTCCATTTGACATTATACTTCAAGCATTTTCCCATGATGACAGACACTCATATATATTTTTAAATGCCTATGTAATTTATTCTATGGATGTAGCCTAATTTACTTAACTGTTCTGTAACAGGACCTATTTTTCCAAAAGATTTTTACTACTATAAGTAGGACTGAAAAAAATTCCATGATTCAAGTATAGTTTTATTTTGTTTTATTTCTGTACACTGACATCCTGGGAGTATAGAAAGGGATTTTGCTAATTTTTATTTCAGCTAGTAGGTAATTTGTATTTCAGTCTAGATCACCTTAGCCCTGAAAACAATACATCTCATTTTTGGAAATCTTTGGGAGGGTTTTGTAAAGTACAAAATAATACCTTAGACTTAGTTTGAATTTTATGATTACTAGTGATTTGAGGATGCATTCTTTTTTATCAGTCATTACTATTCCTTGGCAAATATTTTTTAAGTCTTATCAGGAATTTGCTTATGACATGACACTAAGTTTTGAGATGTCTCATTTACCCTGGTTGATAGATTAGGTAACTGTCACACAATAACTTAGAGCATCTAACCCCAATGTTGAATATTACTTTTCCAGGCATTTATTATGAGCCAGACTGCAGCAGCAAAGTCCTGGATCATGGGGTTCTGGTGGTTGGCTATGGCTTTGAAGGAAAAAATTCAGAAAACAATAAATTCTGGATTGTCAAGAACAGGTATAAAACACCAAATATTATTTTATATTTGAAATTGAAGAGGGAATCCTTGTTTGGAATCGGTATTTGGATACAAGTCCACAAATCCTTAAGCTTAATTTGAAATCCCAGAAGTCTTACTCTCACTTAAGAGTGGGCACAGAAATATGAATGGTTGTGTATAGCATTCTGTACCAAGCTTACTGGGAGTATTAATAATCTATTTTTAACAATGCATTTCTAAATTCTGAATTTTTTGTTATAGAACCCACATCTGGTCCCAATGGTTTCAAATAAAGAATTGTGGACATGTATAGTTGAGGGCTAGTTTCCTTTTTCTTTGATTTTTCAACAAGGCATAAGGAGCAGAAACATCTGTCTCCTGATTCTTTCTGTTTAATCTGAAAGATTGTCCAAGAATCCAATGGCTTCTGTCTAGTCTTTCAATTACCATTTGATGCCCAGCCTTTGCATTTTACTTTTCAGCCCTCAGAGGTCTTGAGGATTATCCAAAGCAATTTTGACAACTTAAATTCTTTGTGATTTAATATAATATAGCTTGTGGAGACAGACTGCTACATTGGAACACCAGTTCTGCCTCAATTTTTTGTCTTAGAAAGTTAAGATAAAGATCTATAAAAGTTAATACATTTATGAATATAGGTCACAGAATTTAGAATACTGCCTAAATTATGATAGAAACTGTTAAATATTAACTATTTTTATTAATAAATCTAAGGTGTATTTGATTTTTTGTGTAAAATGGAAAAATCTGCTCTTCTTTCAGCTGGGGTACAGTTTGGGGCACAAATGGCTATGTGAAGATAGCCAGAGACCAGAACAACCACTGTGGAATTGCCACAGCAGCCAGCTACCCTACAGTGTGACCTGATGAACCATGATAATGAAGGATTCAGGGCAGGCTGCCTGGAAGGTTTTTATCTTAAAACTGATCAACATTTATTGTGTGAGATGAAACACTTGAATCATAGAGGATCTAAATTGTGAATTAAATTCTGTGATGTTTTTACACTGGCAAAATGTTACCACTACTTAAATTACTGCTATAAATAGCTTTGTAATTAACTCTAAGACTTTTGACTTTTGATTTTTAAAAGAATGTATAAAGCTTCACCTTTTAAAATAAAATTCAGTATTTAGAGGTGGGCCTTATATTTTGTGTGTGTGTGTGTGTGTGTGTGTGTGGTGAAAATATGCATAACAAAACATACACCATCTCAACAATTTCTACTTGTACACAAGTATTGATGTAGATTACATTTTTCAAGTTGTGCACCCATTCTCTTTTCTAAATCATTCCATCACCATTAACATAAACTCAATATCTCCAAAGCAAAAACAGCCTTTCCCCCTCTTTCCTGCCTCTGTTGTTGTGTGTGTTTGTGTCTGTATTAGACTGGGTTCTCTAGAGAAACAAAACCAGTAAAGCTTATATGTATATATATATAGAGAGAGAGAGAGAGAGAGAGAGAAATTTATCTTAGGAAAATGGCTCACACACTTATAGAAGCTGGCAAGTCCAAAGTTCCTGACATCAAGCTGGAGGCTTTTCCACATCAAACTGGAGGCTTTTCCCGACTCTTGCATTTTCCCGACTCTTGCAGCTGCAGGGGCTGAGGAGCTCAAGGCTGGCAGGCAGTACGCCGGCTGTTGACTCCAATGAATAACGAATCCAAGATCTCCAGGCTGAATGGTGGATTGTTCACTCATGGACAGTTGTAGGCAGCACAACAGAATCACAATCCACAGAAGAATGTCTCTTTTCCCGGAATGTCCATAGATGTACTGGAAGCAGGCCACACCCCTAGGGAAACTCCCTTTCAACAGATTGCCTGCTCAAAACATAATCATCTGATCCCATCATGGCAATAACCACATCCCAACAGCTTAAACCACACAGAATTGTGGTCCAACCAAGTTGACATGCAGTTCCCACTATCACAGTGTCATTTTAGCAACTCTATACGACAGAGTAGAACTGCTCCATAGGGTTTCCTGTCTGTGAGAGGATCTTATGGGAGCAGATTGCCAGTTCTTTTATCCTTGGGAGCTGCTAGGTGGGTTCAAACTGCCAACCTTTCTGTTAGCAGCCAAACACTTAACTATTACACTACCATTGCTCCTTTAGCCACCTCTGATAACCAATAATAATCTTTGGTTTCTATATATTTGCTTATTTCATGTAAGTGAGATCATCCAATATTTGTCCTTTTGCAACTGACTTATATATATATATATATATATAGAGAGAGAGAGAGAGAGAGAGATGTTGTTACACACTGTCAAGTCAGACCCAACTCATAGTGACCCCTCCTTTTGTTTCAGAGGCGGTATCTCTACGGAAGTAGATTGCCCAACCTTCCTTCTGAGCAGTGGCTGGTGGGTTTGAACCACCAGCCTTCTGGTTAGCAGTCAAGTGTCAGGCACTATGCTACCAGAGCTCCTATATATATATGTGTGTGTGTGTGTGTATGTATGTATGTATATGTATGTATGTATATATGTATGTATGTGGGAGCTCTGGTAGCGTAGTGCCTAAGGCATTTAACTGCTAACCAGAGGCTGGCTGTTCAAACCCACCAGTCACTCCTCGGAAGAAAGGTTGAGCAATCTACTTCCGTAGCGATACCACCTCGGAAACCCAAGGAGGGGTTGCCATGAGTCGGGTGCGACTCAACAGCACATGACAACAAGAATGTATGTATGTACATATGTATGTATGTACATATATATATATGTGCCACTTGCTCACCTTTAGAAAATATATATTCTTCTATTAAGTTTGACCCAAAAGAGGGCCTGTGGCTGTCTTTGATGGTCTGTTAGATGTGGCACTAGAGAGTGGGACTCGTGTAGGGAAGTGAAAAAAAAACAAATGTATTCACAGGTCTCAGGAAGGAAACTATAGCAGATGTGGATGCAGGGTCACACAGAGGGTTGCACCAGGGACGAGAAAACAAGTTGAAACTGTAGGAAAGAGCTTATATGTAGCAAGCAGGGTGGAGTCTTGGGGTTAGTGTGTGCTGAAGTCCTACTAATCTGTATAAAAGTTTCTAATGGATTAGTGCAGGAAAAGGGAATACTATGGGACATGACTGGGAGGGGCAGGGAGTGGCTATGGCCATTGAGAGACTAGGCTACAAGGTAGTAATTGGTTCCTATAGCTGAAAATTTATGGGACATGGCCAGGAGGGCCAAATAGAAGCCACAAATGTTGAGAGTCTGGGTGAAAAGATAGGAACAACCATGTCAGAAACTAGGTAAAAGGCAGCTAGGAGGAATGAACAGATGCCTAAGCAGCAATTTATATAAGTCACATATTGGTTTTATGACAATTTCCTAAGCATCTCTAATAATCTGTTATCAAAAATGTATGCCACCTAGTGTTGGACTAGATATGAGGAAACAATGTAACTGATGCAACCTTCCTAAGTTCTATTTGTTCGCATCTTTAAAATTATTAAATGTGTACACATTTTAAATGAGCAATTCTGTAATTGCAGCATTTGTGCCAAAGAATCACACGAATATGCAGAGGTGTATGGACAATGATGTTTGTTGTATATTACTTATTATAGCAAAAATTAGAAACAAACTAAACATCCATCAAAAAGAGATTGATTATATACACACGACATACTCCTACAGTGTAGGTAAGGAAAAGAATGGTTTGGTTTTCCATATCCTGAGCAGATAACTAGATCATAAGGCAATTTTAAGTATAAAAACATTGTAAATAAGTGGTAACTGCTTAGGAGCTCTGGTGGCATAGTGCCTAAGGCATTTGACTGCTAACCATAAGGCTGATGGTTCAAACCCACCAGCCACTCCTTGGAAGGATGATTAGGCAATCTAGTCCCATAGTGATAAACCAAAAAACTAAATCACTGCCATCGAGTCAGATCCTATTCATAGCAACCCCTCCTTGGGTTTCCAAGGTGGTATCACTATAGAAGTAGATTGCCCAACCTTCCTTTCGAGGAGTGGCTGGTGGGTTTGAACCGCCAGGCTTTTGATTAGCAGTCAAATGCCTTAGGCACTACACCACCAGAGCTCCTATGAATCAGATCTGACTCTACTGCAGTGATTTGGGTTTTTTGGCTTTTTTGAAGGAGCCCTGGAGGTGCAGTAGTTAAGCATTTGGCTGATAACAGAAAGATCAGAGATTGGAACCCATCAGCCCTCTACTAGACTCTAAAGATTTACAGCCTTGGAAACCTGATGGACCACTTCTATTCTGTCCTACTGGGTCACCATGAATCTGAATAGACTGATGGCTATGGATGGGTG